GATGTGTCCGGCATGGACAGGCTCCTGGTGAACTTCAGCATCGGAGGGGCCAGGAACTGCCGCTCCTCCTCCGTTATTCCTGCGGGAGAAGGCGGGGTCAGTGGGAGGTCGCGGCAGCCACGCCGCCCACCGTCACAGAACACACACAGCACAGCGCACATGCCGAGGGGACGGGGCCCATCCGAGCCTAACGAGTGGAACAAAAGTAAAATAAAAAGACGAGGAGGGTGCTGAGTGCGTGCTGCTGAGGTTCCGTTTTTGCCCAGAGGGGGCACCTGGGCCCTCGGGCGGGCCGTTAGTCTTCACGCTTGTGTGTGTGGTGTGTCAGCACGTGGCGGGGGCGGGGCTGAGCTGGATCGGGAGTTGGCCAGGGCCTCTGGGTGTCTGTAGGGTCTTGGGCTGAGGTGGCCTCCCTGCCCGTCTCAAACTCGGGCAGAGGCGTCGTGTGGAGGGGCTGCAGGAGCACTAGCACCGCCCTCGTGGCTGTGCAGCGCCTTCACCCGCGTGGCCCTGTGACGGTCCTGTCCGTGTGGCAGGAGCCGGTGTCCTGGACCGTTCAAGGGCTTGAGGGCCTTGGGGCTCCCTGGGCCTCAGAGGATTTGTGAATGGAGGGAGCCGGGCCCCCTGGGCTGTGGTGAGGGTGCGGTGCTTCCCACAACCATGACCGGCCAGGGTCAGCGCTCGGCTGACGTGGTACAAAGTCAGCTCGTGTTCTGGGGCGTGACTGTGACCCAGGGGTGTTGGACCTGCTGAGGGCGTGCAGGGTGCGGGCAGTGTCCCCGCCTCGTGCTCCCGACAGCGTGTGTGTGCATGTGCATGTGCGTGTGTGTGCGCGTGCGTGCATATGTGTGTGTGTGTGCTTGTGTGTGTGTGTGCTGTGTGCCGCCCGGGCGGGACTCTCAGACGGTCCCACAGTCGGAGCTATGAGAACGACAACAGAACGCACTCCAGGAGGCAGGAGCCACGCTCACACATGGACGCCAACAGACGTGAGGTCATGTGTGTCACGGAGCATGCAGGGTTCAGGTAACAGAATGGATCACTTCAAACGACAATGACTCCCAGAGCAAAGGACAGGCACGCGTCCAGGGCGTTGCCCTCGGTAAGGGTATTCCAAATCCCAGCACTCCTTGCGAGGCCGGGCGCGGGCGGCCGGGCCCGACGAGTGGCTCCCAGGAGTGGGAATTGGGAAACACGCCTTACAGAGCTACCGGGCACGTGCCAGGCACAGAGGCCGGCGCACTGACCTGACAGAAACAGTCTGCTGTCTGGCGGGAGGAAAG